TAAGCTTTCTGTAGTTAATTCCCCCCCCCCCCCAGTTTCTCTTCCCTTATATTTTATAAAACATTAAATAATTAAAATGTTCCCATCTTTTCCTAATTCAATTCTCTCATTCATTTTATTTCATTTATTTATTAACAAACATTTCACTAGATTACAATAACTATTTTATCCATCATTTTAATCATATATTGTTTCATATTTTCTAAAATTATTTCTATTTCTAATATAACATTACTATCTTATGTAACTTTGCAGAATCCCTTTTTCAATTAAATTTTCACTCATTATCTCTAAATAGGCCCTGTTTCTCCATATCTTGTTTCTGTCCTTTATAACTTCTTTTCCTTTCCTTCTTCCCTCTCTTCTTCTCCCTCCCCTTTTTACCCCCTTGTCTCTCTAGTTCTAATTCTCTCTTCTGTATTCCTCTCTTCTGTTGCTTTCAAATATTATACTTATTTTTCAAGTTATTATTCCTTTTCTTGGTTGTTTTTTAAAATCTTAAACTTTTCATTCTCTTTCCCCCCTTTCCTTTTTTTCCCCACATAAAATTACTTGTTCATTAAAAATGGCTTCTTCTTTGTCCCAGTCTTCTTGTTCTGCAGGCATTTCTTGTTGTTTCTCATAGTTCGAGATCTCCATTTCTAAGAATTGAAATACGAAGCCAAAAGAACCTCTCCCTTCTTGTGCATCTTCTTTGTACTTTTTAAGTTCCATTTTCAGTTCATCTAAAAGTAGTGCCATTTTAAAACACTTTTACACAACCACCCGATTAATTTTAGTCATTCAAATGCAATAACCAAAAAGCCAGAGATCACCAAATAATCCAAATACTCCCAAGCTGTTTCTTCATGCTTCTTTTTTCTACTTTCTCTTCCTAGGGTTCTACTATTTTGTAGCCAAGTTTCAGTTAAAATGTATCTTTTAGAAGTCTTGTTGAGGTTTTACTGTAATTCCAGGCAGTCTCCTCCCTTTTTTCCAGATCCTGCCCTTTTATTCTTTTTCTCTCCTTTCCTGCTTTTAAAAGGTTTTAAGTATCCAGAAATCTTTATTATCCCTTTGACATTTTATTTTCAGCTTGAATGCCTATCAATGTCAAAGTGGATTTTTTTTCCAATTTCTTATTTAGATCTCTTAGCTGGCAGTATAGGGAAAAGGAGAGAAGAAAAAAAACCAAATCCTTTCCCTTTTCTCTCTCCTTCGCTGCTTCAGAATCTTCTTTGGGAACAATGTTACTTTTTTTTTTAGTTTAAATTCCAGGGTACCTTAGTTGTTGCTTTTGCAGTTTAACCTGGTCAACCAAAACTTTCTCTTCTTATCTTCCTCCTGCACATTCTTTTCTGGTTGAGTTCTTCTTTGAGGTGGCCATTTCTGACCACCGTTGCAACCGCCTTCGGGAAAGGGAGTAATGGCCAGCTGAGGAGGAGAGATGCGGCTCTCCTCAACCCTGCTGGCAGTCTCCCCCCTCTTCACCACCTCTACGGGGTGGCTTAGCCCTGAAACCAGCCGGCTCGGGGCACTCCAGCGGTGAGCACAGATCAAAACCGCGCACGATCGCAATTTCGGTCTGTCCATGAAGAGGCTCAAACCAGAAGTCTATCACAGTACTGCATTCTAACCACTATGCCAACATGGCTCATTTAAAGATGCCTTCTTGTGTCCCAGTTAGCAGGAAGTAGATACAATAAACCAGAAACTGGCAATACACAGGTTGAGATCCCTTGACCCACAGCATTGCAAAATCTTAAATAGAATTGTACTACAACATTACATAGAAGTATAGTTTCATCAAAAAACTTGCTAAAAATAAATAAAATAAAAAATCTGAATATGTGAAATCTTAGTTGTTCATTATTCTTGAATGAAATGTCGTAGATGAGACTGCTGATATCTTAAAAGACTCTGGGTGCTTTTAATATTTTGGTTTATTTATTTCATTATGGACCCCAAACCATAGTTGAAGGATAGTTCAACAACTCCTGAAAAGAGTCATATTCTCAGCCAAACTGAAAAGAAAAACTGCACCTTGTACATATAGATATGTAGACATATACATATAGATATCAAGGAGTGAAAGAATAAAGGCTGTCCATTCAGCTCAAGGTTCTGCCTTTTTCTGTTTTATTTAATACTCAGCCTGATTTGGTAATCTTGTAATGGTGCTAAATCCTTTGTGTTTCCTACTCTAAAGTGAATCTGACAGAAAATGCCAATAGCGATTTCCAAGTGTCCCCAGGCCATGAAGGTTGGCCTACAGGATCCTCCAGTCACCACAACAACCTGCTCCCAGTGCCACACAATAGTGGTACTAGTGCTCCAGGGCCCAGGTAAGCAAGCATCTCCTCAGTGTGCATGTTGTCCTAGCAGCAATACCTCAGCAGTCTCATCAGAGCAGCCCTTCTTGTGTTCAACGGGTAAGAAAAATAGGTCAGATTTTACTATACACCACCTTTTCTCCTTTAAAGACAAATAAATAAATCAAATAAATAAATAAATGAAATAAAACAATTATGTTAACTTCCTAAATGACAAGAGGCAGCTTTAATTAGAAAGAATGTTTATATTTTGCTGATATAAATATCAGGCAAACACAGAGGTGGTATTCAGCAGGTTCTGACCAGTTCTGGAGAACTGGTAGTGGAAATTTTGAGTCGTTTGGAGAACCAGCAAATGCCACTTCTGACTGGCCCCATCCCCATCTATTCTCTGCCTCCCATTGAGTCCCAGCTGATTCTTTTGTTGCCTTGCACAGGAGAATGGAGCTGGAAAGCAGGTATGTGGGGTGGGGAGGGAATGGCATTTGCAGTAACTTTCCCCTGCCACGCCCACCAAGCCAAGCCCACCAAGCCACGCCTACAGAACCGGTAGTAAAAAAATTTGAATCCCACCACTGGGCGAACAGTCTAAGCATTTAAGACTAGTTTGTCTCCAAGAATGCAATTAAAAACTTGGTCTGGACTCAAGAGTAAAACAGGGTCTGGCCTCATTAGTACTTGGATGAAAAACCACAAGAAAATAGAGAGGCCGTAGACTAGCCTGGGAAATTGAGGAAAAAATATTGTGGAAGATGATAGCAAAGTATTTCCAAACTCTTTCCAAGAAGTCACCAGGAGTTTGGCTAGATTCAAAATACACTCTAATTGTTGCAAGAAGTGTTTCACTGAAAGGACTGGTTTATCATACAACTGTGCTGTAAATTGTAGCCCAATCAGACCATTTATTCTGAAATCCAACAAAGGGAGGCTTTGGGTTAAGTTCTCAGGTAATAAGAAATATGGATAAAACAAAATGAAACAAGTTAATGTTTTGAATGCTATATTCCTTTGAACCAAGTGCAGACAATCATGTTAAAGGCTTTGTGTGGTTTTTAATTTTTTTAAAAAAAATTCTTGAATCTTAGATTGTTTCACTACAATAGGCTGAAGCACCTAAAGATGCAAGAAACTCTCCCCAACCTCGCCCTAAGTTAGAAAGAAATGAAAAATGGACACTATATACATGCATAAAATCATAAAATCATAAAATTCTGGATTATAATAATTTCTTTGCAAGACAAATAATGCATTGAATAAAGAAATACAATTTTCAGCTACAAAAATGATTATCTGTTCCTGTCATACATCAAGCAATGATAACGGTAGCTGCAAATTTCAGTTGTGGTTTTTGTGTGTGTGTGTGTTGCTTTGTTGCAGTCACTATCCTTGCCTCTGGACTGTCAGTAACAATGCTGTCAACGTTTCTAACCTGGCAAATGATGTAAGCAGCAGTTCCCCATTTCTGCGAAGCAGCATTGCATTGCCTGCCACATCCTCATCTGGTTTATCGGGCACAGTTGCCAGCAATATGGACGCACAATTGGAACCTGCTTTCTCCAGATTAACTGATTCAACCTGGACACCTGCCACCTCTCGTTCTTTCTAGTGGGCTTTGGGAAGGAGCACATGATCACACAACAACAGAACTGGAGGCTGCCATAGCATAGGAAAAAGCCACATCTAATAAGAAATTCCGGTTTTGCACAATCTGTTCGTTTTGTTAATAAAGTTATTAATCAATTATTATAACATTATTCCTCAAGAATGCATAGTAATAGATAAAGCAAGTATGAATTGGTGAAGTCTTCAAGTTCATTTCACCCCTTAGAATACTGTATAGAAAACAATATTCTTTGTGGCATAACATGTTGCTTTGAGATTAAGAGTGGCAAAAGATCATTTATGTGCAAGAAGAAATTGGAAAACCAGCAGAGACCGATAGCTCTATTTGTTATAGCAGATATACTAATGGTAACCAAAGAGAAAGCAAGTACAGTCATCTTTCTGATTCTGACTCAGTCACTTCTGTCTTGACATACCTTTTTTCCTAGTGGAAGGAAGAAAATGAAATTCGAATGAAATTCCAAAAGGCAAGAATTTAATCCCCAAAAGTTTGCTTGCCTCTGCACACATTCAATTTGTCATGTCAAGGAAAGAGGGAAAAAGAGGGAAGGATACAGGGCTGCTATTGATTTCAACTTATTGCAGGATACAGCAATTCTGTTTAATTGGATTATTGCTCATGACAGAGAAGATATTACATCTCATTAATTTTCTTAAATCTTCATAAAAGGAAATTAGCTTTCTTCAGAATGTTCATAATGTTTATAAGAGTGTCCAAAGTAGTAACAATATTTTTCTTTGAACTAATTCATTAGTGAAAAGCTATCCAATCCATCATCATCGTTTTTTTGCCCTTCCATTGTAGGTTGTCAATCTTTAGTAGTGATGATAACTCTACCCAGCATCCCTTATTGGCATCAGATAAATGTGTAGGAATAATCATTAAAAAAAAGGAATATTGTATTTTTGTTGCATTTTCACTGACATCCGATGGGACTTCATTTGATCCACTCTGCTGGCTGGAAGTTCTTGTTGTTTCACATTCTTGGTAAATGTTTTATGCTGTAGTTTTTCTGTGCCATTTTGGCTTACCTGAACAGTGCTCATATAGACAATTGTGTATGTGACCCCAGAAGGACAGTTGACATTTCTGTGACTCAATCATTTCTGATAAACAGAAAATTTCAGCAACCACATAACTGAATTAATAATGAATGAATAAAATTAATCATATGGATTACATGTGTGATTCTTTTAATATGTTCTCATACAAAAAGGAAAAAGCATGACTTAGATTCTTCTTCAATGTTACTTTATTTTCTGTATAATGTTTATTAAAAGTACCACTCATAAAATTACCACACCACTATAAGGAGTGCACTTCAACATCAAACATGACACATAAAACCAAGAGATTTTATGTGCCTCAGTGGTCCTGAGAATTAACTAATGTTGACTGGAAGAAATAATTTTAAAATCAATTTGGTGGGGGATTATTACATTGATTAATTACACTCAATTATTTTTAAAGTGAAAATTGCAGATAACCCTCAACTTACATTTGTTTAATGACCATTTAAAGTTATAGTGATACTGAAAAAAGTGACTTATGATCAATTTTCACACTTACGACCATTGCAGCATCCCCATGCTCACTTGATCAAAATTTAGGCAATTGGCATTTATTTTATGACAATTGCACTGTCTTCGGATCATGTGATTACATTTCTTACTTTCCCAGTGGGCTTTAGACAAGCAAAGTTCAATGGAAGAAGCCAGATTTGCTTAAGGACTGCTTGATTCACTTGATATCTGCAATGATTCACTTAACAACTATGGCAGAAAAGTTGTAAAATGGGGTGAAACTCAGTTAACAACCGTCTTACTTAACAATGGAAATTTTGGATTCAAAGGTGGTTGTAAGTTGAGGATTCAACTGCAGTGGTGGGATTCAATTTTTTTTACTACCGGTTCTGTGGGCGTGGCTTGGTGGGAGTGGCAGGGGAAGGATATTGTAAAATCTCCATTCAGAAGTGGTATTTGCCGGTTCTCTGAACTACTCAAAATTTCCGCTACTGGTTCTCCAGAACTGGTCAGAACCTGATGAATACCACTTCTGATTACTTGTATTGATTTCAATTTTCCATTATTTAGAAGTTAATATTTCCTTTAAAAAATCTGCTGCAAAAGATACAATTTGCCAAGTCTAAGGAGTATTTCTCCTTCCCTTTTGGGGAATTAATAAGAAAAATGTCCCGCCTCTAAACTGATAAGAACTCCACTGCTACTTGTGGTAGAATACCAATAACCACACTGATATACAGACAGGACCACACAGAGTAATTATAAATAACACTAAGCTATTGAATGGACTCAGATGAATCTCCTTGTGTCAGTGGTGGGATTCAATTTTTTTTACTACCAATTCTGTGGGCGTGGCTTGGTGGGCGTGGCAGGGGAAGGTTACTGCATAATCCCCATTCCCTCCCCGCCCCACTAACCTGCTTTCCAGCTCCATTCTGCTGTGCAGGGCAACAAAAGAAGGCCCAGCTGATCAGCTGGGACTCGGGAGGCAGAGAATAGATGGGGGCAGGGCCAGTCAGAGGTGGTATTTGCCAGTTCTCCGAACTGCTCAAAATTTCCACTACCAGTTCTCCAGAATACTACCTGAATACTACCATTTCTGAGGGGGTCAAAGAACTTCATTAAACATGTAGCTTATTTCTAAAGCTTAGTACAGCATGCATTTCAGTAATCCCACCCCCCTTGCAAAAATAGTCACAGGAACAGTATTTCTGTGCAACTTTCCTGTTCCCGCCGCCTTGTAGTTCCTCATTCAGTCCCTTCTGTCCCATCAACCTTACAAACCAAGGTCATCTCAACAGGTGCTGGTCAGAGACTGAGGGGATTTGCCAAAGAGATGCCAGAACACCTAATTGGACAATGTGACCTGTAAACATGAGGGAGGGAATTATCTATTCTTTAATTATCCTGAAATTGCAGGAAATATTTAGAACTGGTTTTGTTTTCATTCGTGCTGAAATGATGTACTCAATAAAACAGCTCTGAGAAAACTGAAAGTCTCTAAACCTTGACAATGGGTTAGTGTGGGCTGTTGTTCAATAAACATGCTTTTTTAATTTGCCTTAATTTCCTCTGCTGATGAGGATATCCAGGATATTGTTTTCTTCATCCGTTGTGAATTTTCTTTGACTATGTTGTTGATTGTTTTAAGCGTTTTCTCCAGAGTATGGCTCTGGTATGTAGATGCTACTTAGTTGTAAAAAAGGAACAACAGCTGAAGACACAGTGAGGGCAAAATACACCAGAGCCTGCAGCAACTGGGAAAAACTGTCATCAGGCTGTCAGTCCACTTGTAAGATAAAGAAATATAAGAACTCAACCTAGCGCTCGTTGTGAGGGAAGACATACAAAGAAGCAAAAGGAATCTTTTGGAAAGGACCATATTAAGCATGAGAAAAATTTAATCTAGATATTGAAATGAAAATAATAAAATTAAAAATACTATAAAACAATAAAATTATTGAAATTATAGGCAAGTAGAATAATTGCTGTAGTAAATCAGTATAGAAATGTAATCTAATCATATACATATAGATATTTATTTAAATATAAAATATATACTCGGCTGTAGAGCAAGATTGGCATAAATTTTGATAGTGTAATTATAGGCAGGGATGGGATTCTACCAGTTTGCAGCTATTCACTAGAACCAGTTGTTAACATTCTAAGCAGTTCGGAGAACTGGTTGTTAGAAGAAATTACTGGCCTAATCCTGTAAGGAAGGCAGGAAGGAAACATTCTGGTGTTGCTTACAGAAACTGCCTCTCCGTTAACCCTTATTACATTCTTGGCAGGACTAGACTTTTTCAGGAACTTCTCTGGAATTTCCCCCCCCTCCTTCGCTGGTACTTTGCTTGTGTGGAGTGACCATTCAAAGTTACAATGGCACTGAAAAAAGTGACATGACCATTTTTCACACTTACGACTGTTGCAGCATCCCCACAGTCATGAGAGGCCAGGCAAGGAGATGCGTGCCTCGATGATATTGAGTTGGCCACACCCAGCCAAAAAGCCACGCCCACCACCTAAGCCACACCCACAAAACCAGTTGTTAAAAAAATTGAATCCCACCCCTGATTATAGGGTCATAAACATTAGAACAGGTTCAAAAAAACCCCAAAGGCTCAGACAAGCAAATCTTAAGAAGAGAGATTGAGAGAAAAAACAATCTCAGTTTTTAAATAATAACACAGATTACACTGGAGAATTTCTAGTATTCAAATGTTTAAAGATAATCTCTGAAATTTAGGGGCTGACACCAATGGTATGACTATTCATAAAGTTTCATTTCTGCAGACAGAAAGTGAAAATTGGGATATATTATGGCTGGTTTAATTTTTAATTAGCATGGCTGATCGACCAGTTATATGATTTGTAAACAATTTGATTTTAAGTAGTCTTTATTCAAACTAAGTTAGATTTTATATGTAATTGCTTTTTACCAACCTGGTTCTATTGATATAGGAATTGTAAAATGGAAGTTGTTTGTAATCTGGGGGCCTAATCTTGCTCTATACTACAGGTATTTCAGTTCAAAGAAATGCTATTTTAAGTAGTATTCACATTTTATTGTAACATTTTGGACACTAGATGGCAGCCTTGGTCTAAAAACCCCAAGAACAATGCTATCATTTAGTTAATAACAATTTTTCTACACATGCCTTGGTAATAGGTTCCTTTGGAGAATTAATAATAACTGATTTTAAAAGTCTATACAACTACTGGACATATATTATCTAGTTTTTCCTCAGTCATGGAAACAGATCAGTTATGATTTGATTGACCCAAATGATTGCTGTATTCTGAAATGTTTTATGTGGTTCTCATATTTAACAGCAGGTTTTTTTTTAATGCTTTAGCTGAAAGCTATGTCTTCACTGATTGATTTTTGGATGTCATTTGTTCCAGATGTAGAAAGGGCAGGCCAGAATAACATCCAATAATGGTATGTGGGAATTACCTTTAGAGGCAGATGGAAGAGCTGCAGA